AGCGTCAGCTGTTTTTCAAGACAGCGCATGCGCATTTGAACTCTGGCTGCCCCACCCTGGCTTTGCAAGTGCTGATGGAACTACCAGCTGCTGATACCGACGAACGTGATGCTAATAGACTCACAGAAGGTGACGCACCCGTCCAGGAACCCAGCGGAGTCGTTGATGATGTCACGGATGACATGATCAATACTGGGACGCTGAGTGACTTTTCATTCAGTGGGACCTACACTGATGCAAGCACCAACGGAATTGTTGAAGAAGTGGACTGGAGCAAGCCAGTTTCCTCCAAACTGGAAGGTAATTCATCTTCCGACTTTGACTGGAGTCAGCCTATTTCATCTAAACTCGGTGGCGATTCAGCTGCCGATTTTGACTGGAGTCAGCCCTTGGCGTCTGATCTCGGCGGGGATACCGCTGATGATTTCGACTGGTCGAAACCTGTTTCATCTAAACTAGGAGGTGATGGTCTTGGAGATTTGTCAAATGGTTTTGACTGGAGCCAACCTCTGTCAACGAAGCTTGGAGGACTTGGGCTAGACAGTGTGAACGGCACAGACTTTGACGAAATGTCATCTAGTTCTGTTGCAAATCGTGACAATGATGTCGATTCGTCGAGAAAGACAACCAACTCTGCCGACGATGTCAAGTTAGAAAATGCTGATCTGCCTGTTTTGAAATCAAAAGAGACGCGCCAGTTAGATGTCATGGCTCAGCAGATGAAATTTTCCGCGATTTTGAAACTCTTGATAAATGAACTTCATGGACTTCCGTCCAGCTGTGAGATTGCAGATGAAGATTTGAGGCCATTTTTTCTAAAGTGGCTGGAAAAGGAGTTAGAGGCTCTTCACAAAATGTCCGACTATGGAAGTGTAGCTGAAGACAGTGACGATGAAGTGGAAGAAGCTGTTGAAATAAACGTTGAACAAGGTATTAGATAGGAGTGAGGGTTTTGTTGATTTTGCGACAAGGTGTGAACACCAAATGGCATAATTCCCGACTCCAGAAACCCTAGGGTACAAGCCTTGGGCGCAGGGATTCCTGTGATCGCTTGGGTGAACAAGGGTTAATTATGATTGGTCGGTGGTATTCAAGGCAACCATTGACCAATCACAAGTAACGAGTGTCCACCCAAATGATCCCAGAAATCGTTGCGCCGAGAGCCATTCCCCATTAGATTGGGAAATCTAAAAGAGAAGAACACTGGACAATACCCACTCTTAACCCTAAAGCTAATTTGAAAATCGCGCTACAACAGTACATTTCCTTTGGATACCAGATATAAGGGCCACGATACCACAGACGATACAACACATTGTGGGCGCACAAGACTGTACAGCTGACAAGTGACAAATAAGTGCGCATGCGCTTGTTCGCCATCTTGAATGAGACCATAAGTACGCGAGGCAGGGCAAGGTTGCTTCTCGTTTGTGTCCATCATAAATCGCCTTTCAAAGGCTAAAATGCAAAGTTTGGTTAAGAAGAATTAAGGACAGTTATTTTTTTACAGCGGATGAAATGCAGGAAGGGAGCACGGCAGATAAGAATCACATATCTTTGAAAATCGATCGCTCAGCTAAACGCATTCAGTGGCTCAAGAAGAATCAGAAACTTCTCACAATGCTACTCAATTATTGTTCTCTTCACGGAGCCAGCGGGGGTGACTTGGCAGGTAACGCCCTTCTCTTATTTGATTTCGTTAACTCGTAGGCTGTGTTCGCACTTTCCCGGATAGCTACATCCGGTATATCATGAACAGCAATGGCACAGAACTAGAACAAGTTGTTCACACACATCTAACATCTTGCCGCAGCGTTTGGTCGAGATGTTTTGGGACGCTTTCCATTCAGTAAAACTTCCGGCTTGAAATTTCGGAAATTCCGCGTGCCCAATTGAACATTACTATTGACCCAAGCCACCGCGCATTTGGTTATTGTTCTTGTAAGCAGGATACAAAAGACCGGTACTGGGAACAACAATTTTGTCAAATGGAGAGGGACATTTCGGTCCGACCGGCTGAGATAACAGGACCGGTCAAAGTGGACTACCTTGAAAGCTGGTCTGGAATATTCCGATCGGACCAAACCGAAATCGTCCGTTCCATTTTATGTACTAACCGAAATTTCCGGAATTTTGGGTTGAGTGGAAAGCGCCCTTGGTCAACTAAATCCAAGTCTTCACCCCTGAATATTAACATCCGTCTTAGCGGATTCTAGTCCTCGCTCCTACGTATCCACTTTCGCTGCGGTTTGGTCCGATTTTGCCTAATCATGAAAGGCAACAAGGCAAAAGTTATTTTATTAAATGATTATAACTACGCGAGATGAAATAACTCAAAACCCTAACTCTCATTGCAACAACAATGCCTGCAATAATAGCGGAGCTCTCTCTCGCGCGCAGCGGATCGGAAGGAAAAGGGTAAGAAAATTTGGTTATCTATACATCTAAGAAATTTTCGTTCTCACAAAATTGTCCGTGTGTTCGTCCCCCTCTTAATGTTAGCGGATGTGAAGTGTCTTACTAGCTTAAAAGTCCAAGGCATTTAACTAGATATCGGACATCCAATGTTATGAACAATTGACAACTGCCATAATAGGTTACCCGCTGACCAGTGTCACATGACTGTATCGTGGGCTCAGGTGTACAAATCATTGGGATGAAGTGTTTTTTTAAGTTCTTCGCTGGCCAGTTAAGGTATTCAAGTGATCGCAGGCTCAGAAGACTTAACTTTAGAAAGAGTTTTTAAAAGTACGCACGAGAGCTTCACTTTTGGCCTTTTGTTTAAATCTATATTTTAGCTCTATTTTGTAGACCATTTAACACCTCTGCTTCTTTAAAAGGAAGATCATGGGAAGTGAACGATGCTTAAACGATTCATTGGATTTTTTTATTGCAGCGATGAATATGGAGCTTCTGTTGCTTCTCCATGAAGTGGAGCAGATGCGTTCGCTAGTTTCTCCGCTGTACGTACCGTCAGCGGGCCCATCCGTTCCACCACTTATTCTGGCGTCAGTGTCTGCTTATTCGTTCCTGGCGAGTCCGCTGGGATTTCTAAATAAAGGATTTACGGTAGATAGCAGTATAGTGGGAACGGTTACAACTGTAATAAGAGTAGCCCAGAGTAGAGTAGGCTTGTAGCCCTGTTCACTTCAGCTAAGTACAGGTTTGTAAAAGGTTTGTAACTATGCATTGTATTTAGAACCTGAGTTAGAGTAGTTCAATACGTGTGGCTCAGGCTGGTATCTCTGCTAACTTCGAGTTAGCACTGGTGTTTCAACATGTGTGTACTTCATTGATTTAGTGGTATTAGTGGGAACGTTTAGAATCCAAGTAACAGTCGTGCAATACACGTGGCTCAGGCTGCCGGTAGCCCTGTTCACTTCGGGTTAGCACTGGTGTTTAACCATGTATGTAGTTCATTTCTAGTAGTGTAGTGGGAATGGTTGAAGATGAAGTAAGTGCAGTGTAACATAGTAGCTTAGGCGTGTGTCTCTGTTTAAGTTAGTAACGCTGTGTATGTACAAAGAGTATAGTGGTACTGTTTAGAACTCATTATCATGTGTGCTAAGTGGCCTTTATGAGCTATTTCCTTTAGGTGAAAAGTAATAAAATAAACTTAACTACCTTGTTTTGTAGAATATGTGAGTACTTTCTTTCTCCCTCATTTAATATGTTCACAAGTTTCTTACCCAACTGTATTTTAGGCCCGTTTGCTGTCATACCAGCTCACAAAGAAACCACTTCCCGGCTTGACTAGCATTGAACAACTAGAACTGTTAGCATTGGCAGATACATTTGCCTCAGCCAAGCTAGATTTGGAAGAAAGCCCAGGATCCATTGAAAGAGGAGTCAAGTTTGCGAAGAAAGATGGTAATGACACTATTGTTTTTACTTTTTTCCCGAACCGTCCACCAATACCATAGATGATCTAATAGACGCCCTCTCTTAAATAGTCACCTCTTGTCAAATGAACACCCCTTTTATGATGTTACGTTTGTATTACAAGCCCCCATTAGAATAACTCCAAAATACGAGGAAATAGCAAAGAGGAGTAAAATCATTCAAAATGCTCAGTTTCTTGCTTGGTTAACAAGGTTTTGCCCATTGTCTCTTGTTCAATATCATGTTTAAAGAACGGATGGGCTACCAATGACAGCATAGTGACCCTGACCAGGGACCGTCTGATATACATGTACAACCTCTTCCCACATAGGTTCTATCTAAGATATCATCAAGATTTTCAAGGGTATAATTCCAGATCTAAGTTTAACATACGTAAGACTGCTGGTAAGCGCAAATGGGGCCATTGGACATCGATTAATATCATGATACTCGAGAAGCTAGGGATATTGCAACCTGTTAGAGGCTTATAAAGGGGAGGGGGGCTAGCTTATAGTAATTTATATTTAGTAGTTTTAATATCACTCTGTCCTGTTAATAATATTCTCATATTGCATGTTTAGGTATTGTTGGATTGAGAAAGGATTTTAGTATTTAGTATTTTATAATTGTTTATCTAGTTTTTTTTTTTTACATTTATATTTATTTATATATTTCGTTTTATCAGGACCCTATTGTAAAACACTTAGGTGAAGTAGGTTTCCTGAATAAAGATTGATTTACTATTATCATTATTGTTATATGTAACTTCTATGAGATTTGAAATTGCATGTGAAACTTTACACGGACTAGACGTATTAATGGATAGACTGGATATTCTGCTATTTGTAAACTCTCTCGATATTTTCACCGAAAGCATATAGTGAAACCTGTATTAAGCGGACACCGTATTAAGCGGATACCCTCTATTAAGCGGACAGTAGCCGAAGTCCCCAAATTTATTTCCCTTATTTACTTGAAATGAAACCTTTATTAAGCGGACACCTCTATTAAACGGACGCGGACACATAAAAAGTACCTGAAATGGTCATTTCTATTGTTGCCAACCTGTATTAAATGGACATTTGTAATTAAATTCCACCACCCAACATGCCAGACACCGGAAATGCGAAAGATTGCCACCCACAAATTTTAATATTTTTACATTAAAAAACGTGGCTTGACGAACTTATTTCATTACTTTCACAGTACAGTGTTGTTTTCTATTTCGTTTGTTTCTATAGAGCTTGATTCACTCATCTGAGTTCTTCAAATTTGAGTTGCAATCTATGTTTACGGTACTATAATCTTCAATAAAGAAATTAATGCAAACGTATAGCGTCATAGTCTCTGGGAGTATTCTAAACGTTTCCACAGTTCATTTGAATGGCATTTGACACCTCATAGGACGTTATCTATCGAAACCTGTATTAGGCGGACACCCTGTATTAAGCAGACACTACAGCATTCCCTGAGGGTGTCCGCTTAATACAGGTTTCACTGTATTTCTTTTGTTGAGATTGTTACATTTATGAGAATAAACGGTCAAAAAAGAGTTTTTAAAAGCATAGTATAAATCTTCGAGTTTATAGCAGGTCCCTTTCCGAAGATGGTAGCTGGATGGTTTAAAATGAAGCATTATAGACTAGACTGGATGTCCGATTGAGTTCGATACTTCTATAAATATTGCGATCTTGCCTTTCCAGAATATTATATAGACTTACAGGCTTTGATGCCATTGATGCCATCACTTTAAGACTACTCTGTGTCTCGTGTTGTTTTTTCTCAGATGAAAGTTACCATAGTATTGGCGGTCTTATGGGAGGTCCTGGAGGGGGAGGGGGTGGGTATGCTACCACAGGCAGCATTGGCGCCACAGCGGGTAGTGGTGGGGATGCTGTTGATGAATGCGGGCTGCGATTCTTACTTGCCATGAGACATCATACGTGTTTGATGAGGTCACTTCCTCCAGTTCACAGAGCTGCACTTGAAGAAAAGGTGAGTTGAATGGCCACTTGGTGACAGTCACTTTAGATATGCAAATGCTCCCTCATGATTCGATTATTATAACTGTACAGTTCTTTTAAATTTCTCTCGACGAAATCCTGCAGTGTGACTATTGAAAAGAAACCCCTTTGGAAGTTTCTTTCACATGATACTGTTTGGTTTTCAGCATTTTACCAGATGAAATTTAGGAATTTGTGGGAATTTCCTGCTAAAATTATGGCCAAAACGCCACCAAAAACAAGTTGCACGTACAAGCATATAAATTCTGCAGAGCAAAACAGAGCGCGTACTGCTCAAGGTCGCTCCATGGGAGTTTGTCGAAGCCCTTTGCGGTTGTGTTCTTGACAATGAATATGTTTCCTTGGTGTAGGGTTTGTCGTCATCGTTCTATGGCTGGGCGTTCCATTCTGAGTCAGAGGAGGAGTTGTTAGCAATGGTCCCACCGGTGTTAAGAGGCGAGGCAACCTGGTCAGAATTGAGGAAATACGGAATAGGATGGTGGGTCAGAAGCAATGACACACTGAGAAGGCTTATAGAGAAGGTAGAAAAAAAAAACGATATATACGACATGAAAATGTTAATACAGTTGAACCTCTCCATAACGGCCACCTTGGGGACAGAAAAAAAGTGACAATCGTAGAGCGGTAGCGGTTGTAGAGAAGTTTAAACAAGAGTCATTATATTGTCGGCCAAAAAAAGTGGCCATTGTAGAGAGGTGGCCGTTG